GGTGACAACGCACTCCTGATGTCTTTTGGGAGGTTATCAAGGAAGGACTTCTCGACGGGGTTCAACTTGGACGTAGTGTAATTGGCGCCTTTCCCGAGCCAGAACATACCAACGGCCAGAGCTCGGAGGCCTGCAAGGACAAAATTATTATCTTCACGAGAGAGTCCTCCTAGAATATTCAGGACCACCACTAGAAAACAACCGACAAAGAGCCCCCAGTTATGAGCGAATGGGTTTTCCCATGAAAAACGACCTGTGCAAATCATGCTGGTTAGAACTGAGCAGTCGTCGCAGAGGTATCTTGCATACTAGTCGAGATGATCTGAGGACCGTTAGTGATGGCTGAAGCCATCAGATTGAGCCGGTGAATGATGAACTGATTCTGCTTCATGGCGTCCAGATAGTCTAGCTCTTTTTGCGCTCGTCTTGTAAAACCTTCTACGGACGTTCGGTTGGGAAAGTCCTGATTGATTCGAGATATTGAGTTGGTGAGCCAAGCATCATACACAAGATACTCTCTATTTGCTGGGCTAGTGGCGACAAGCGTAGGCCCGATGGTTGGAGAGTCATGAGAGAATGTGAGTTCAACGCCCTTGCGTCTGAAAGCTTGAGAACGCCTGTCCAATTCAGAGTTCATTTGCCTGAGTCTTTTGAGACTATTGACTTCCTCAGTGTCCGCCTATATCGAGTCAAGCACTAAGCTTCGTAGCCACTAGAAGGTACATTCGACAATCAAACCTTATCGGAACAGTTAGGGTATGGCGACTTGGGTGATGCCTGGTTCTCCTTCATTACGCTGAAGCCGCTGCGTAGATGACCTTTTCTCTGTCATCCGAACATTAATCTGATACTTGACCTCGAGAGACATGTTGTAAAGTTTTACCTTCGAAGGGGCCTTGTCTGCTTGTACAACATCGCGTTCCCGGACGGGCAGCTCTCCCAAGGCCTGAGCAACGTCAACATTTTGAGGGGCCTCTTCCAATGATCTAGCAAGTATCGCAGCTTGTGCATCGTCACTATTGCCGTTGATTGCAGGGTCATGTCGAGAATACTGGCTAGGGGAAATCAACTGCCCGGTTCTGCGCTCGCTACCGACATAGTAGTGTCCTTTGATGCAGCGGTGACACTGACAAGGGATAAATGCCTTGTCCACATCAAATGGACTTGAGTCCGACTCAGAGTCAGAGTCGGGCATCTGTTTGCGGAATCACCGTTGCAATGAGGCAAGTGACGGGAGGTGACCGGTGATGGGAAGAGACGCCAGTGGTATGTGTACACACCGGTAGTGCCGTGACCTTCCAAGGTTTGGTGAGAACCGCGAGCTCCGGCTTTATTAATTCTAACACCCACACCGACCCCACACTCATCAGCCCACTATGTATACCTTATTTGAAAGTATGTCTGATGTTTGAGAAAATCCATAGTGCTATGGCTAAAGGCGAGGAATTTGCAGAGAAGCTTCACGCTCAGCGCTCTGCATGTTTACTCCATAAATTCGGTTTTGGTAGTGGCCCATATACACCGAGTCAGTTTTACGCTGCTTCTATACCCATTTTATCCCCCGTTTCTTGCCAGCATCAATGCATAAAAATCCGGCACTTATATTACCTGCAGCTTGTCCAGCACTTTTACAACGCGTTGGTCGACCCGTCGCATGCCCTGAACGTGACACCGTACATAGCAAGGGCTGAGACTTGAGGGGCAAAAAGGAGGGGAAAAGACTCATTAACTATAGGCTCATTGTTCGCTGCTAGTGGCTTGCGCTGATTCCACCGCAAATTGAAAAGGACACTTAACATATTTTACAAACTGCAAAGCCATTTTAAAAGACGACGAAGCGGAAGAAGTTACAGGCTCACCAATCGTCATCAGTCTGTCGAGAAGTTTGGCGTTCAAGCGACCCGCTGGAGTGGTTAGGAAGGGACGAGAATGGAAGAAGATCAGACGTACTTTGATTAAGGTATCTTCTCTATGGTCGCTCTCGAGGTGTACGAGTGAGACCAGGCCACGCTTCCCTCGGCCTGATTAGTGTCGACAGAGCCTGTCATACCAACGGATTCACGAACACGTTGGTCGAGTATTTGGTGAACTTAACAGCATACGTGTCGACCTTCCCTGCGTCTGCCTCGATTGCAATTCCGGTACCGTTTGCCGTGCCGTTGGTAGCGCCGTTATTCCCAGTAGACACGGATGGCACGATGAAACTAGGCGCGGAGGCCTAAGGTGAACCCTCCTTCTTGTTCTTTTTCCTTCCAAAAACACCCGTTTTCTGTTCGGCTTTTAGGCTGGTTACCTCCCGGCTTATATTTCTTGTTAACGGCAGTGCTGGTCAGCAAGACGCCTTGCATGAGCTTGGCCTTGATGTCTTGTCCCGGATGACGACTCGGCCATGATCAATGTGATGCGCAAGAGTATATGGTCATCGAGGATAGTGATCTCCATCAGAATAGGATGGTCAATTGTCCTTCTCTATCCGCAGCTACGTCAGCCGTGCGAGAAAGGAAGGGGAAGAGATTGAATACAAAGCTCACTGTTCGCCCTCCCAGAACATCCTGAGCTATTTATCTCGCTAGGACACCTTTGGCTCGTTTGTCATCCCAAGCACGGACGGTGAGGAACCCTGAAAACCCTTAGAATTGGGGAGATAGATCAAAAAGTATATCTGTACACACCGAAGCCAAGAGCGCCAACCTTGTCTGGCCCAGGGTTTCCGTTAGCTGCAAAAAGTATCATTAAGCGCTCGCACACCATGGATGAGAGGAGCACACAGACCGATATTCCGAAAGCGACTCCAGTACCGAGGATCATAAACGACTTCATTGTTGCTTACAACCCATGTATGGAAATATGATGATAGAATTCCAGCATGCGCAAGCATTAAATATTAATCAATAGGCGTACACGTGGTGGAAAGGCATGAAAGAATTCATAGCGAAGTTTTATAACGTCTCTTCGTGTTCTATACGGCCGTCCATATAAGAGCCTCAGGTTGACATTAGCATATGGGATAGAAAGAAAGAAATCATATCGTTCCGCTGGGACAAAAGGTGCAGCGAACTATCCACGCTCAGAGGCGGGTGACTATGGGCAGGAGTCAGGAAAACCAGCAGTCTATGTGACTGGATCGCGTCATGAAGATTGTATGATGGTGGTTGCAGAGCGTTCATATAAAGCCCTTGGGGGGTAACAAAGGCAGAATACGTGTGAGGGGTGGCGAGGGCGAATATGGCCGGGAGGAGACACGGACGGATGATTCCATGTATCTGCCTTGCAACCTAGTTGACCTCGCCCTTAACTTCTATCCGTGATCATGCCGCCCCTGTGGCAGAATAAGGATACAGTCACTATACATGTAACGGGAGGTTGTTGGTCATACCGACATTTAAACGAGGGAGTTTACCTCCGGTACATTCATCAGCATGACCACGCGAAGCAGCAACGAGAGCTACGTGGGGAATATGTGGTGCCGGTGCACGACCGGACGGAACATCTTGACAAATGACTGGGGAAATCCGAGCGACGAATTATAGAAACGGGAGCCACGGCGTAGATCTTGCTGAGAACGTGGGGTGTTGATGCCACAGATTGTTTCGAGGCAGGAATCACAAGAAGCAAACGTGGGAGAGAATAACCCTGGCGCCAGACGCCCTGATATGGCACATGAGGTGAAGCTAGTCGAGCTGATGCAATGGCTGGGGTGCTGGGTGAGCGTAAAGTCCCTCATTCTGATTTTTGTGGGTGAGAGGTACACCGAGCATGATACATAGCAGGGATATGTCTGTGTTGATAGTACACTGTTGCCGGATAGCGGTCTTCGGAGCAGCATGACGATTGGCTCTATGATGACGCGGACCCTCCTTTGCCCCTTTACCATGGCGAGATCCTTCAGCAAGCCATCGAATTATCGAATTGGCATACACATTCTTAGAGTAGGAGTCAAAATGAAATCAGATTCTGGGAAAGGAGCTCCGTACGGTTAACCTCACCGAACGAGATGGGAGGGGCAGCTGAAAGAGCCTTGTTCGCCTGCGTATGAGTCAAGTCAGTCTTCGCGTAAAAGGACGTCATGTAGTCACATACACATGAAGGAACCTGATCGCCATCGTAATCATCGTTAACGCTAGCGCTGGCACTGCAATCCTAAACTTGCTTCCCAGGAGACTAGCCGTGAAGTCTTTGAAGCGTAAGATCTCGAGTGGCTTTTGCATGAGGTGTACGACCTGGTGCGTAACATTGAGATCTGAAGGAGTGTTTGGCTGGGCTCTTCACGTTGAGATTCCATTGACAAATCGCATTCTTCACCATGAAGTATCCATAGCTGGGACGCCTAAAACTTAAAGTGTGGAGGAAGGGATTGGGGAGAACCATTTGGGTGACGCCATTGACGTCGACTCCGCGCTGGCGACTAGAAAATACATAGGGGTCAGAACGTCCAATGGCCATCGTCAAGCTTCAAGCCCCGCCGCCAGTTATGGAAACTACTTCCCGCCTCCTTTGGGATGCCGCATACGCCCTAGCCCAAACAGTCTTTCTGACAACCGAGCTTTGGTTGAGCTTACGACGTCCGTGACTGCCCCATGGTCACTTCATGTTTCACCCCTCACGCCAAGGTTGCTGAAGATACTTTTGTTCTCATCTCCCCAGCGCCAGCTATTACCACCCCTCTGCCAACGCCTTCTCCTCAAGGGACCCAACATCATGCACGTCTCCCGCTGGGGCTCATAGATCATGTCAAGTCCGATGGTCTTGATTCCACTCTGTTCTGTGCATCCTCTACGAAGTGCCCCGCCAGTGCTGATGCCGCTCACAGCAGAGCTCCCGTAGCGCGAGCTTCCGGTCAGCAGTGCCACAGGCAGCAGGTCTCCCCGTTGGTTATCATATCCACCATCACCTCACAGCGCTTCAGCCCTTTGGACTGTAACCTGTCATTTGGCCACCCACCAACATCATCCCTCACCAGGCAAGAGCGCTGTTTTCCACCCCCCGGAAAGGCCCCCGTGATGTCGGTCACATCCAACACCTACTCGCACTCCCTTTGCGTTGCTCTGCCACAGGACATCCGTCCAGCTATGGTCGACATCAGCTGCCTAAAAGGCGAGAGGTTGAGCGTGATTGCTGATGCATGGCATGTGGAGGAGTCCTGTGAGTAGTATTTGTCAATTCTGCCTGATAGTCGTAGCTCAGTAATTATCAGGCCACTACAGATGGCACATCCAGTTTACACCCAATGACGTTGACATGGGGTCCATAAGCGCCCGTTTCGGCCATGGCCACACCCTCTTGATCAATGCCCACCGAAAAAGCCGCTACGGATTTTCTTCGACTTGTGGTTCCTGGGAATGCTCGTCAAGGTAGCTACATCTGCGTATTGACATTTTGCATTACTCCTCCACGCCTATGTATTTCCACACATTCTTCCACCTCTCTTCTTATGTCAAGCGTACGACGCGCACGATACCCTCCTTAGCCAATACTTAACACCACCTACTTCGCTTTAAGTTACTTTACCAGTAGCTCATATACCTCACAGATGAATAAAACATACACGCGTTTTACCATGTCACTAGGGTACATCAAGGAGATCCTGAGGTTTCCCCCTTTTTTATGTCGGCTGAGACAGCTGTTTTGAGCTACTTTTGTTGGCATCCAATCTCTACCCAACTGCTGCGTGTTACGTTGAACCTACAGATGATAAGCACCGGTGTTTGGGTATCAGACGAGTGCAAAGATGCTGGCCTGCCGTGTTTTGAGATCAGCAACTCCACGCTAACTGTGCACCGATGTTTGTATTCATGACGCACCTCGATTCCTTGATCACAAACATACTCACAACTCGTCAGTTTTGCAGCTGCTATGTTCAACCGGTCACCTATGATCACTCTTCCCAAGAAGAGCGCTTGTCCTTCTCTAAAGTGCTTTGGCCCGCTTGAGCTTCTCGAGTTCAAGTTCTTCGGGCTCCGCGTCAGCTTCCCGTGGAACGACGCATTCACAAATAAGCAGACCACCCATACCACTATTGCGTACGAGAAGGCGTCCATTCTTTTCCAGATTGCGGCCACCTAGTCCGCGATAGCGGCTGCCCAGGACAGATCAACTCCGGGGGGCCTCGAACTTGCCTTCTACTATTTCCGTGCATCTGCCAGCATGCTTATTTACATTGATAAGAACCTCCTCCATGCCCTTTCCGCCGATCTCAGCCATGGTGTCATCAAGTGCCTAATGGGTATCACCATCGCACAGGCGACTGAGGCTTTCCTGGAGAAAGCCATTGGAGAGAAGAAGCCCCATACTCTGATATTCAAAGTTGCCTCTCGTGCTTCGTACCTGTACACTTTTCTGACCGACGAACTCAAGGACCTTATGGGCAAGGGTATCTTTGATCGAAATTGGGGCACACTCACTCAGGTAAGCAAAGCTCCCACATGCAGAGAAGAACTCAATTTACCCGTTAACCTTCAGATCAAATCTCAACATTTTGGTTCTTCGTCGCAATACCACTATGACTTGGTCGACGACAGGGCCGGAATACTTAGAGATGCCCTTGTCCGTTTCATGCTCGCCGAGTCACTTGCGAAGGAAGCCAGTCGGAATGTAATTTCTTTCAATACACTTCCCATACACGTGTCACCAATGCTCCCTGCCGATGCTGGCAACGTCATCCTGGACTGCATCAAAACCCAGCTCACTCTCTGCACTGAGCGCAAGAATGAGGCAACACGTGCAAACGACCTGATCTACCATCTCAAGAGGATCAAGAGATGCTTCCCGTGATCGAGATGGTGGCTGTCGCAACACCCATACCAGTCCAGGAGGTTTGCGGGACGCCAAACGTACAGGAGGCCATTGGCCCCGATAACTTCCTTAAGCTTATACACCTCAGTGTGCACATATGCGCCAACAAGTACTCGGAGGAGAAAGCAAATGCTCTTTCGAGGGGAGGTTGAGAACGCCGGCAGGCAAGACCACAGGACTAACTGCAAGAGACGAGGGCACATCTCCTCATAAGTGCTGTCGTCATCCGATTGAGTACCACACTTATCACATCATGCAAAGTGAAAGACCATTTGGTATTTGTAATGCTGCAGTGACGAAAGCAATCTAATTGGCTAAACCAAGCGGAGGCAAAGGTATATCAACGAAGGAAGGAATAACATTCACGGAGCAGCCACGATCGTATAGAGCAAGTGCGATAAAGTACATTGTGAGTAGCAAAGGTGTAGATGTACGGAAAATCGAACGATGGTGGGGGTATTTGTGAGGGAATCAGATGCGAAGACAAAGTCCAATGTGAGCAGTCAATTCTGTTGTTATCGAGATCCAAACCACAAGTGAGAAATGTAAAGAACGAGGACAAGTCCGGGAGCAAAGACAATGAACAAATACCGGAAAACGAGAGATGAGAAGCCAGGTGCCGAATTCTATGTAATGCAAGGAAGAGCAGATCTACAGCTCGCTGGCCGCTTTGGTGTACTGGGGAGGCATATGCTCGTTCATGGGCACAAAGCCGAAGTCGGGAGAGACTAGAGTTCAGACGTGAACATAAGCAATAAGACTTGCAGGACTAACAGGTTACTCACATCTGTTGATCCCTGTCCACCATGGCCATACCCGTCTCCAAGGGGGGCGTGTTCGCCTGCGATGAGGAGGTATGTGATGCAGCCGAGATCGATGAGGTGCTGGTCGAAGGGCGGACAGAATGGTGCTGTCCCCATCCACCACGTGCATCCAATGAATCAATGGATGCCGCACTACCAGTCCCCGCCGAGTATGCGAACTCCAGTTGAGAGATGCCACCCCCAAAGTTGTAGTCAGCAGAGGGAAGCTGAATCATGCTTCGAACTCGAGGCATACTACCGTCGTCGATGGGGTGAGGGAACGTGGATGGGCGGTCCGAATGTTCGTAAGGCGGGGCATACTTGTTTGACGACGACGGAGGACGGGAAAGGCCGGGGGAGTTAGGGCGATGGTGACTGGAGCCCGGGCGCGAAGTCGTGAGCCGTTGAGGGATACCCCTGGTTGCCTCTTCATAGGGCAGCGACGAGACAGAGGACATAGAAGGTGCATTCAGTTCATCTTCTTTCCCCGCATTCTCGGAGGCGCAGCAAAGCTAATTTGACGTGGACCAGAATATCCGGTTGTTGGGCGGCTGTCCGGAGACAACGGAGGGGAGAGTGGTCGTTGTGAATAGGCATCCCAGAATAGTTGCTTCGTTGCTATGAGCAGAACGACCATAGCCGCTGCTGGGCCCCATCGCGCTGAACTGGGTCGAGGGAGACTCTACAGCAGGAGAGATGGGGTGAAGATTGTGTGAAGGGTTCTGGTTGTACTTTTCGTGACGGTGAGACACTGGTGGGTCCGATGGAACAGTGATGGGAGGTATAGTGAAACGAGGGTATAAGAACCCACAGCCAGCAGCACGTCCCTGGCTGAGAGGGGTGAAGGAGCCTGGAGCTGAGAAGCCGCGAGCTCTCCCCATGATGGAGGGAGTGGATTTGTGGGTATTGCTGATAATGCTGGGAACCGCAAGGGGAACGAGGCTCATGTCGATAGCGGGGCAGGAAGGGGACATCATGATTGCTGCTGTCTCTTGGGTTATCGTGCTTGTGGGACTAGAGCAAGTGGGGAGGTACACGATGCTTGAAGTACTTCGGCCACGGCCCTCAAATGGAGAGTTCCTGGTGAGGGCTATGGCGCAGGAGTGTCACATTTATAATTAGGCGTCTGAATCTATTCAAGAAGATGGTGGCAGCTTACACTAGGTACTGGCATCAGGCCTCAGGGCCACCGGTGGGGTCGGGATTTCGCAGAATGGCCTTGCGCATGAAGATGAAGCCGTGCTACATCTGGAGGAAGAGTAACTGCATGTAGGTACCGAGGGTCGCGAAGGGGTAAATTAAAAGATGCCAACTGAATTCGAAGCTTGCGAACCGCGACCGATGTAGACACCGGGCCCACGCAACGGATCCGCAAATCCTCACACTCCCAATTGGCCTTGAGCGCTTGATCAAGCGCTTAAGCTTAAGTCCCAGCAGTCTCGAACCAGCCACTCATTTTGAACGGAGCTTTTCAGCCCAATGGGAGAAGGAACGGCTGGTTCCAGACTAGAGCACCAGGAACACCAAGGCTAGGACCCACCCAAATATTTAGGTAAAGGTAATTCGTGCCATGTAGGTAAGTGCCACTTGGGCGTGGGTGAACCTCATTATGTAGCTGAGGCTGCTTTACAGACCTTGCAAGCGACTAACGCTGAGGTAAGGAGAGGGGTGGTTTCGATGTTGCATCCATTAGCATCAGTTCACGTAAACGAGTGACACCGTCCTAAGCGGGAAACAATTCAGGAAAGACCTCTCTAATTCGATGCTCATAATCCACTCCTTCTGCATTCCTTTTGCCAACCACCACCGTCCCATCGTCAGACAGTGTGATGGACTCCCGTACCTCCGCCATCTTCAGAATAACATCGATGCCCAGCCGGTCCGCGTCCGCCCTTGTCATGGGTTGGGGCCGCCTCGCAAGCTCGTTCAAAGACGGCTTCAGCCACGATTCGATGCCGTATTCAAGGGCCATCGCTGCTTTGTCCACCGGATCCATCGCCACATCGGTCATGCAGTCAATAGAAAGTTGATGAATTTTCATCATCCATAAATGATGTGAAATCTTGAGCGCCGCCATCCATTCGTGTACCGATAAACCCAGCTTGGTCCTAGCAGTGTTGGTGTCGATATCCAGCGGAATGGGCTGGGAATACAAAAGTTTAAGGAACTGATCAAAATCGCAGCTTGAGACCCCATCAAGGACGATGGCGCGGTTCTCGTTCAAACCCTGCATAGCAGGCTGGCTTTCCTCCGGAATAGAAGGCATCGTTGCACCGAAAAGAGGAGACTGGCGAGCTAAGACTTTATGAGGGACCTTATATAGGTGGCCTTCTACCTGTGTTGACCAGCATCAATAAGGGTCCACACCACGAAATCGATAGCAATGGCCTACGCAAAAGGTAACGTCACTATTGTGGCAGTCATTGTGGTCAATTTGATCACAGGACGGCTTGGCCATATATACTTGATTGAGAAATGACTGGAGTCTTCAACAATACTCACGAAGGAGCCGAATGCAGACGTGCAGTGCCAACCCTGGAGTGAGGTTTTTGGAAGTTTTGGATCTACCCGTCAGGAGGACGTTGCTGAATTCGAAATTTCGAGTCCCGGACGTTCGCGATCGGCGTACACCACGCACAGAGGCAGATTAGAGTTTGTGTTTCATCCCCGAATGAAGCTTTTCATGCCGGCGCCGGCAAGCGGGTTCAATCTCGGATTGAAGTTCTGGCCCAGCCCGAACGTTTGAGTCCCGGACGTTCGGGAATGTCCCGTACTTTCGATTCAGTGGCTTCCTGCCCGTCAGGCAGTCTTTAATATACTATACCGTAGCTGACGACGGCGCACTCAAGTTGACGCGTGTCCTGAACGACCCTATAGGAAGGCCAGGATCCACTCTGCCGGCTTCGACGCCGATTATGTATAGTCCGTTCGGGACTAATGATTAATGATTATCGGGAGCTGTGATGACATCTAAAGCTTGGTACTAAACAGCGAGTGACATCTCGATGGTATAGCCTGGGCTGACAAATAACCACATTCCTCGGGGATGAATAGGCCTTGGACTCACGGATTGAAGTTGTGGAGGGGGTAAGGAAAAAAGAAGAACATGCAACGTCAATCACTGAAGCGTGAGGACACTCAAGGATGTGTTCCGCCGTCCCTCGTTGATGATAGTTCCGAGCTCAGTCGGCTAAGGAGCGCAAGGCGTTTGACAGGGCTGAAAATGTTTTAAGATGTCCAATCGGTGGCAACCACGCAAGACCCACTCCGCCTCCCTTGCACCTAATCCATGAGCACAAACGCTTCGGAAAACTCAGATTACAGGTTCAACGCAGAGGCGTTGTCGCTGCGACAATGGAACGGAATAAACTACTTCAATGGCAGACGGAAAGCCTGCGTCGTTATTTTTGACGACGACAGCCGTAAGTAACATGCAGTGCATTGGCATCTTGATAGCTGATGAACTAGATTTATATAAACACAGACCTGCATCTCTCCACTCGCGAGTCAAGCCGGACAAGCCAGTATTTTTGCTTGCCAATGTCAAAGGAATGGACAGTGTATCCTCTGAATTTTGGCGTACGTACTGGATATCAGTAGATTGGCTGGCAAGAAACATAGATTTCCCCCCTTTTTCAGACATCTCGAGAATGGTTGTTGGAAAGCAGATCTAGGAAGCATGGCAATGTCATTGAGAGATGGTCGTTGGAATTTGATTCGCTCGAGACTCATGACCGGTTTGGTGTTGTCCTGACCGAATGTCAGAATCGCGGTAAGTTCTCAAATTCAGACTCTTCAAGTTTCCTGACGGCATAACCAATATATCAGGGAGCGAAAACAAGCAAGCAAGCGGCATTCTCGCACAACCTGGAAAACAGGCTCCCGAAGATAAATCAGAGCTGGATGGTGAAAGTTGGGTTATAATTGGCCATCATTAGAGTCGAAGTCAAATTTAGAAGGCATTGTATCACCCACTGATTTAGCCTGGCCCACTGGGTGCTGTGGTTGAGTTGAGTGTGGTAGTTTCGAATATGACGACCTGAGACACAAGGTTTTAAGGATGTCACAGCGACCCAAAGCACTAACAACCATGCATTGGTATTTTGATGACCGGCGTGCAGACAAATAAGTAAGCATTGTCAATCGGGTAGAGATCAAGCCTTAAGCTTCAAGACGCAGCGGCCGGTCCCAACAACGTACATATGATGACCTCAAGCGCTCAGCCTTCAACATTCAACGCTCGCTGAGACGCAATTTTAGTTGTTCCGACAGCGCACACTCCCACCCTCTCCCACCCGACACTGCAAACAAGGTATGAATTACAGCAATTCTCGGGTTCGGTGCTCACCGTACGCAAGAACCACAGCTTCAACTCCATACATTCGGCGTGCAAATGCGACTTTAGATGACAAATCGACTACAAAGTAGGATTGCTAGCTGCTGCTACTTGGTATATGACTACTCAAGCTGCCAGTACCGGCTGCTTCTTCGATTGAAAGCGATCAGGCGAGGGGTGATATGCCATCCTCCGGGCTCCCATCGACTTCGCTATTAGGGTGTACAGCGGTCATGACAGGTAGGGGCCAGAACGGTCCATTGCGGCTTGAAAGTTGGATGCCTGCAACATCCTTCTGGTACTCGCTTTAGGCGAACATCTGCATCTCGCCTTTTGGAAGAAATGGGTGAATATTCGGCCACGTGTAAAATTGAAGTGGGCGTACCGGCTGTAAACGAGACCCACTTCCTGCCTGCGAATGGACAGCGAAGTCCCCTTCAGCCGCTCCAGTAGGCCTCTTGAACATGCCCGGACGGTGGATACGGGGGACGAAGCTGGGATCTGGGCGTAGAAGGGAGGAGAAAGGAGCCTACGAGGCTAGGGGAATGTAGAACCGAGGGTAGTAGGTGAAGGAGGTGATCTCGTAATAGGTAGAGAAGGTGGGAGTGGCGGCTGAGGTCGCGAGGACTGTGACCAATGATCCTCATCGACAATAGATACGCTGGGGTGCAAATAGTGCGAGCGAGTCTGAGACGAAGGTAGAGGGGAGTACACGGGCGTGGGGGCCGAGTTCATGGACCCCTCCCAGAAACAGGGTGGGGACGTCGGAGGAGAAAATTGGTAGGTGGAGACAACATGAGTCGAGGTCCGAGTAGTGCGTGACCAAGTCCTGGACATTGTAGTAGCCACGACTGTTGTACGAGCGTGTGTGACAACTAAGGTCCGGGGCACATGAGGCAGGGGATCAAGGCGCCCGACCTGGATAAAGTCGGAGGTCAATTGACGGCATCGAGGGGCTGCCATGAACGTACTGATAGAGGACTCAGAACTGAGGGTTGACCCGAAGCGGTGCTCCGACAGCGATCACATTGGTGAAGGTGGCACACTTGAGGGTCGATCGATGGCGATCTTTGTTGACAGTGAAGCAGCGACGCATGCGAGAGTTAGCGCTCGAGAGTGGGCGCTAGTACTAGTGAACGCCCGTAAGCGGCGTGCTATATATGATCTTATCAGCGAATCCTTGAAGACGAGACGCGTGAAAATTGAACCTAATGGCAGCCGTACGGCCATATACAGGGCGATGGTGGAATATGACGAAGCGAGTGTCAAGGGTATTCGAGGAGATGGGAATGTTCGGGTCACTGTGTCGACGCGGGGCATCTCTTGCCACTGTGGACATGATACTTATGCGCAGACGCGGATGCCAGGAGCTGCCTGAGGCCTGGGCCTGAGGCCTGAATCACGAAGCGTGGGACTAGAGCTTCTGGATCAGCGCCGACTCCGGGCCGGTGCGAAGCACCCATTTTCGGTGCTGTCTCCAACGCGCGCCTTACATTCGCAGCCCTCTCTTCATTCAGGCACCTATCGAAGCCTTCTCTCTTGGACCTACGCATTTCAGCCATGCCCACAGTCTATCATCCTCATGCATTACTTGAAGGGGCACATAGCCAACCCATCACCTGCTTGAGCCTAAGTCACCAGGGCTCTTATGTTGCTGCCGGTGGCCTAGAAGGAAATGCTTCGGTTTGGTCCATTGACTCTGGTCGACTTCTTTTCTTACTAGAAGGAGAAGTACCCGTTCTCTCGCTTGCATGGAGCTCATCATCCGAGTACATCTTCTTTCTGGGTTTGGGAAATGGATCAATGGTGTACGTTACGATAGACTCGGTAAAGTCTCAGCCAGCTCACTCAGCTCTGCCTGTTTATGTTCTAAACTTTGTTCTTGGGGCAGGAAGGAATATGCGCCAGGAACTTTTCTACTCACCGGGAGTTTCCAGTTGAGTGTATTGCTGTGGAGGAGAGTGCTCTGGCGAGCAGCGCAATCGAGGAGGTTCGTGTTTGGCGTTACCTTGAAGGTAATACATCTAGTACCGTGCTTCCTGTATCTCGTCCCTCACCGACAATACTAGAGGACAAGTCAATAATACCTCTCGCCCGCGTGGAAGATCCGGACGCTGTATCAACTACCGAGAATGCGAAAGTAATCGTTTGCGGGTTGCACTGGATAAAAACGGACTACTCTGGTCAGGTCTTGTTGATCTCTTATGTGCACCATGGACTTGCGTAAGCCACAAATTGGGCTTTCTTGAGAAATAAGACTCACGTGCGAAGATTTTGGGATGCAGTTACTGGAAAGGTTTACAATCGCATATCGTCAAACACACCTATGTAAGTAGCCCTTTTCAATACCACGGGCAGCGGGAATGTGGCTTGGTTGACCGTTTCGCAGAGGGTGTACATCAGTGTCCCCTGACCACAGGCTACTGGCTATCTCCAATATTAACGCCGGTTTCGATATTTATGATCTCGTATTGGGAACGCTTTTAGCATCATTCACACACAAAGTTGGGCGAAAGCTTAGAATACCCGTGCTCTTCCTCCACTCCGGCGGTGCACTCATCGGCGGTACTACTACAGGCAACATAACCATGTGGGACACTAAAACAGAGGCTTTCTTGCAAGTCCTTGAGCATGGTGGTATGTTTCTTGATTTTGACCCGTTACTAGCAACTCTAACCAATGGTCAGATGGTGACACTGTCCTAGCATTAGCGGGACCAGCACATCTCTCAGATCAGAAACGCCCTTTCATTGTTACTGCGGGAGCTGCTTCAAGGTTGGGTACCCCCTTCATAAAGCTCTGGTACGGATATAACGCACGTACGAGCCTTCCCTCGCTATCCCCTTCCCTTCGTGGCTGATTGCATTGCAGATCACCAGGCCGATCATCCAGAACATCAAGCTGATAACTCGCAATACGAAAATAGGCTCCTTTCTTCAATGTCCCTAAATGAACATGCAACCGAGAGTTGGGTACGTAGGTTGTTACTGGTTGTTTTGCGTTTGAACCAGCAGTTCACTTTGATCTTTCTAGATGGACAACATGTTACTTATTGCCCTCCTAGCGGCTCTTCCTCTTACCCTCCCGATTATTGAGGCTCTGCTGAAGGGACGGTGACCCAGGCGATGGCCCTTCAACAATTATTATTCGTAGTACATTCATATGGAATATTTTTCCTACGTATATTGACCGCTGTCCAGCTCCGACGTGTACCATATATCACGTAATTAATCCTGTATTTATAAGTATCACTGCTTTTTTGATCCATGAACGCGAACGCGATAGACGCAGGTTGTAGATTCCCCCCAGTTATCCAGAAATTCAAATACCACCGCATCAAAGTCCAAATCTAAATCTCGCACCTCGTCCCGCACTGAGAATGTTTGTGTGGCTTCATCCGACTCAGCATCATATATGGCGAAGACCAGCGGTATGAAGTCAAAGCCACCGGAAATCAGTGGAGCTGCGCGGTCTTGAACATGTTTCAACAATGAAAGTGGTGTGACATCCGAGTTTTGCTTCATCTTATGTATGTTCTCTGGCCCATCGACTAGACCCCAAACCATGATACGTTTGGGTGCTAACCCATCGCTGGTACGCAGCGCGCGAGGGAGATGCTCGATCGTGACATGTGTGATGTGTATGTTATCTGCCAGGATGATGCCCAGCTGGCCGTTGCTTGAAGCAGAGCGCCAGCATGAGCCTATGTCATTCCTAGCATCCAGGGCAATTGCAGGCGGATGGACCTTTAGCCTCGAGCCGAAGACGGGCCTAAGCCAGCCAAATCCAGATTCGGAATAAGTCGGAGAAGTGAGTTGGGGGTATATGCGACCACCAAAAGATCCTAAAGCGAAATCTGGGCGACCAACAGGATCAAGCGAGTGACGTCGCAATAGCTCATTAACAAGGCGCTCGATGGTTTCTGAGAGCCCGGCATTGATATGCTCCAATCGAGAGAGTCTGTCGTGGTGTATGCTGAACGAAGTTTGTAGGTGGCCGACGGTTTCTTCCAATGCAACCATCCTGTTCTGAGCTTCATCAAATTGCAGTCCAGGATTGAGAAGTCGGTTGGGAACATAGGTAAAGATGACTGCAGCGTTAAGGTCACGGTTGCTTCTGAGGACGTGTCGAACCAGCCAAGAGAGGAGTATTGATAATGTCATTAATAAAGCCAGGCTCCATTTTTTCCGTCGGCCAGGCCGAGCATTAAGGGTCTTCACGGTGTTGACTTTAGGTGCGAAAAGTCTCATAAAAGCGCTGTTTTCCCGTTCTACAGGCTTCCTCAACCGATCCCGGTTTATGCTCCACATCGTCAAGTTTCTGGCACCGACTGTGCTTGATACCTGTTAGAAGTGCAATAAATCAATAGGTCTGCAAAGGTCTGAGCACTTCGGTAAACATACTATGGCCCGAGGGGTAGGATTGCGAATATTTTCGAAACCGGTTGTCGAATGCATGCACACCCCAGATGAAGATGGAGAAACGTAGAATTCGTATGTCAATACTTCATACGGCTGGCTACTTCAAATTTATATCAGTCATATGTACTTCAAAAGGGCAGCGTCGGGTGGGCATACCGAGGTCGATGTTCTTGGTGGGGACAAGGAACCAGCGCGCAGGCTTTGCGCACACCAGGCAAAGACTTGCCCGATCCAGCCGGATCCGGAGCGCGTCTCTGTACGGCTCCTCGTCCTCAGACTTCACAAGCTTCCACAAGTCCTTACATTTCATTTCATTCACCCTTCAAAGCTTCAAGCCTCAAGCACATGCATAAGCCACATAAACGTTCTCATGTCCTATGACATAGCTGACGCAGCCCATTTCAGGGTGAGCAAATCTTCAAGAAAAGATCCGGCAGACGCACCTCTCCTCAGAGCTCGGTCCTGGTCTCCTACCAGCAAGCCATTTTCAGCCGCAGTTCCCCGCTCTCGTCAATGCCACCCATCAACACTACGCATGCCGCTCAAGCGATCCAGGCTAGATCACTTATGTCAAGGATATGTTCTGTGAGATCGCTAGAAACCACTCCGTCAGGATTGCAAACCACAGCCTGCTCTTGCTTGACGCGCCGCCGCTCGTGGATAAGGACTTCGTGCGCCTAGCTGCAGGGAGCAGCCTCAATGACTGCCATGCGCCGTAGCCGTCGTGTTGGCCTCGCATATTTCGCCTCCAAACCCCATGATATCTGGTATGGGATTTACGGGGACAGGGGTAGGGGCAATAGAATATGCTGGGGCGGAAGGTTTCCGATGGTGTTTGGAGCGGCGGGGGCCTGCAATTCTCTCAAGGTGCGCATTTTTTTCGAACGTCCGCTCAGGACTTCAAACTAATAGTGCGATAGTCTTATACTTATAGCGGTGAAGATCACGACTATTACAACATCCGACACACTATCCCTACTCCGACCGACTCTTCCTCAAACAAGCGCGAAGAGACAGTGCAAGAGTAACCGATCTCAATGGCCATTGGCGTCCGCTGGCTACCTGCCCCTCTCGCTCACTGGGCGTGTGGCTGAGCTCGGGTTGTTCCCGCAGATGTTGATCGATGACGGGCGCAGGGCCTATACTCAGCGAAGACGACGCCCGGGATCTCAGCCCAAGTCTCAAGTCTGGCCCCGTTGCCCTTCGTTTTGGCTCCATCTGTCTGCAGGTACTTACATATCTATGGAAGAGCTGCTAACATATCCGTTGTAGTGGTTCGTTGCTCCTCAAGGCTGTAGACCATTAACTTTTCCGACGTGAAGCACATGCATATATATCTCTTGCAGGGCTGACGCGCATTTAGACTAGACTTCACTATGACGACCATGCATATTATCTTCAATTACCGGTCACCCTTCTTCCTCCAGTAAATATCACACTTTACTCACGTTTCTTTAATTTATGCACTGCTCACGAAAAACCTTTCTACTAGGCGCATCTTCAACGCTGTCGTGCACCCATCCGCAGAGAATCAGTCTTGGGCGCTCATATGTTCGCCCCTCGCCTATACGTTGCTCCCAAGGTTCATACCTCCCCATCGTTGCCCAATCCCTCTTCATATTCTTGCAAAACCAAGCAGACGACCGCCACCTCCGGTTCGGGCGGCGCACCACGGCGAGTATCCACGTCTAATTTATAAGTGCTATGAACAACAAGACGCTGAAACGTGTTGATAGTGTCAAGTAGGTTGGGGTGGAGTCTGCCGGAGTCAATCCGAAGGGAAAGAATGCTAAGTTTAAAAACGGAAAGAGTCAGGAAGGGCCAGGCATGGATGCGGTCGGGAGCGCAGCCCGGGTGATCATGGGTCGACACGCGCTCGCGCTAGTGTTCGATGCAGGCCCCCCGGAAGAGCAAACAGTTTTAGTTTGATCTCTTTACGGCCATGCCTGGCATGACCCCCTTACTAAGCATGCACACGACGGACGAAATTTGCCCAGCATATTTTTTACGGCCAGAGAACGCAGCACAGGGTATATGTGGCAAATCAGCCTGGGCGTGTGGCATCTCGCCCGTAGCCAACGTCTCAATATTCTGCCGCAACGTGGCTAACAGGTACGCGTTTTGGATTCACAGCAGGGCTTAGCATCACTTCTTGATACATTATTGCACAGATAATGGCGACAAGCTGCAAGGCTCTGCCGCAATAGGCCGCGGCGAACAAGCGACGCGCGCCTGCTTGCTCTTCTCACCAGCTTTTGACCGCTATATGCATCACACAACGTGTGCGCTCATAGTCCTCCTATCACAGACCCACCCTACACTGTATCTCCTCTCAGAAAATTACGCAGCAAACAGAATTGATGAAGGCAAATATATGGCAGTTCCACGGGGACAGGATCGATTGAAGGTCGCTAGCAAAGAGTCAGAGAATCCCTGTGGCTGGATTTATGTCTGTCTCCGCATGTTGAGTGCCCCATGGCAGTTTTGTTAACGAACTGGTTCCCGGAAGGAGCCCGCGATGGGTCTCAAAAGGGCGCCGAAAGGGCGACGAACAAGAAGCCTGCCGAAGAACAAAAATTTTGCATGGCCTACGTATGCCCGTAGCTTCGCATCCAGGTAGTATTTCCTGTTCTGACCCCATGCCCTCGTGCAGTCCAGTAAGGAGTTCGACAAATGGGAGGAGTGGGACGCTTCGTGTCCAATGGACAGCATTTTCCCAGACCCCACAGGCTTGTTCTCGAATGCATATGGCAGTTTCGCCTCCCGTATCTTCACCGTACGTATTTCACAGCCTGACCCATCATGCCATATCTGACTAGTCTTCTAATAGGGCCAAGGCACGCTGCAGACGACTGGTTTTGGCGCCCATTTCGGAAGCCGGTTCATCTTGACCATGGAGCCCGGCACCGTGAGTCTCGTCAACGAAAGGCCAAAGGATTGATGAGAGGAGCTCCTCTGCATGTTGGCAGCGTTCATGATCACATCCATCATCTGATCATCTTTGTTTGCCGCGATGAAGGTTGACTGAGCATTCCGATTGGAGCGTGGCGGACGTCGTGCGGTATCTCAAATCGGTGGGCGCAACAACGACGGACCTCACGGTGGATCCCGATATCGGCATTGGCGTTCTCGATGCGCCCATCTTCTTCACTGAGAACAAGAACAAGCTCTACCCGCTCAATGAACTCTATACGCCGCTCCAAGAAAACTGCAGGCTTATCTGGAATGGTCGCAGGGAGGTTGGCTTGACGGCTCGAGCGAAAGTGCGCGATCTCTTCGACTATATTAATCCCGCGTGATAATGATTTATTTGCCATCTAGCCATATTCTTGTATGGAACGGTCTGAATTAGACCCCCTCCTTGCGCGAGTGCGTTGATTTACTCTCAGATGTATCACCCTTGCCGACCCCGGAGCGCACTATTTTCCCGGCTACACCACGAACTGTACAGGAGCTACGGCCCGAAGAACTTTGGAAATCTCCCAGCCAAGAAGGGAGAAATCGAATACGTCGCGTCTCTACGCGAGGTGCGTTTACGAACATCACCTCCGCATCTCGATAAGCTTGAATTCATAATCTAAATTATTATAAAATTCTCACCAGTCATCATTTTCACAGGTCTTCAACAAGAACGGATGGGCAGACCTTGGGGTGCTACTCCGTGCATGAGAAGGCCAGACATCGTCCGGCTCAAGATCAAGGACCAGCACTTACCCGATTTAGTTGTCGTGAAATGCGCAACAATCCACCATTGAATCTGAATCCCAGGACTGCAAGCCGCTGGTTCATTTCCTTGGTAGGCGGGAGGCCTGTCGATAACCCCTATGGCCGAGCTGGCCGAGCTCGACATCATCCCTTTCGAAGAGATGAAGGAGAACCAAGAGCCAGAAGGAGAGCAAAAAGGCGTGCAGGAGGTTCCCATCGAAGGATCGTCGACTCCGGCGTCAGCGTCGGTAACGGAGCTCAAGTATCTCACAGCGAAGGAGTGTTACTAGGCGGAGAACAGTCCTCACTTCTACTGGAAATTCTTCCACTATATCAGCCTCGGCGAGCACGCGAACAAGTTCCTGCTCCATTTGGGGCCAAAGAGGGGCCATCGTGCGACATCGTCCGAGCTCTGTTGAAAAATCGCGAGCGGTTCTTCCAGGAAGCAGGAGTAACTAATCTGTGCGTTCTTCCCTTCATCTCCTTCCTTTACTACTTGCCCCTCGCCAGATACCTCAACAAGATGCGCCAATCTTCGATGAAGTGCATGGCGCTTCCTCAACACCTCCGCGACGAGCTCCGCCACCAGCCACTGTTCTTATGCTATGGCTACAGTCAAACCTCTTGAGGCCATCGAAGACATCGAAGAAGCCGTGCGCTTTCTGCCCCGCCTCTTAAATCAGGGAAAATTTAAGGGTAAAAGTAGATGTAGACTCAGAAAGACGAGGGCTTGTGCAGCGCACCATCCTAGTTAGACCTTATTAGTCTCCTCTCCAATTACGCCAACCACCATTTTTGTTTATATACAAGTATACTGTATTGATCACTTTAATAGCTATAACACTAAGTCCAAGGTTTTTTTAATAATACAAAGAAGTCTCAAACCCAGAAAATGCATATAAGGATGAAGTGAGCGTGCCAGATGGGATGGATGAGTCCGAAGAGCATATCGTAAATCCAGAATCATTGGACAGCATTGCTAAGCGGTACAGCAGGATCAATGAAGTGAGAATGTCTGAGCAGAGTAGGGCTTCGACAGGGCGTGGAGGGCGTGATAGAGCGAATTGGTATATGAAGAAGGTTGCCCAACTCGACGTTGCCCAACTCGACGTTGCACGACTCGACGTTGCACTCGACTGTCTTCTCGATGTTGATGTCGAGCTACGACCAATGGCGAATCATGATGTGAAACTTCACTCTGGTGGTAACCTCATCGCGACTGGGCTATCATTTGTGAAATATTCAGTGAAGCATACCCGCACAACACATGTGAACTTACGATGATAGGCTCTCAGATCCTCGTTTTGGTCACTCCAGGAGAGTTCACGGGGGATCCTACAGAAAACCCGCGTGAAGTGTCTATTTTGGGACTTAATTCCGGGCGCCGTATGAGATCATTGTGAAGGTCATAAGACAACAACGCCTTACGTTGCGAGTAACGAGCATGCGTAGACTGGGTGTCATTAACACGCGAGTGCAGCGCTATGAACATATTCCCGGTCAGTCGAGCACGGAAGAAAAACTAGGGAGCCAAAAAACTGACCGAGCCTAAAGAATATTCAGCGTTCCAGGTTCGGTCGAGCACGCCGCACTCGATGGCGGCATGATACCGCTCCTCGTCATATGGGTATCCAAACCGAACATCGTCCTTGAACAGCTGATACTGAGCTCACGGCATCTGCGCGGTATGCGAGAACAAGTGCGTGTTCCCGAGTGCGTTGACACGCTGCGGGTTCTTCGACATGGGTAACTTCCTTGCGCAGGCGTCATTCCGCCGAAAAGGGCCATCTACACAGTCATAAGTTGTTACAATCTAACCCATATAATCAGAGATAAAAGGTACGGGTCAAAGCGGCCTTCGCGGTCGCGGTCGCGTCAACAACAGGCCAGTCCACCCCCAGCGAGCTTGACGTTGACATCGCACAACTCGAACCGATGGTCTTAGCGTGCACCATAGGACATTGTGTATGGAAATTTCCTTCCTGGTGTACTTGGAGACTAAGGACGGCTTCAAATGTCTAACAAATATGCGTCAGTTTGATTATAGTAATGTTTCGAGAGAACAAACCAGGAGAACTGGCCAGGGACATTGACGGAGCGTTGGCCCTTGTTGAGAGATAAGATAGATCACTTCTACTATTGTTAGTGATTACATGCAGAGTTTTAAATAAATAAAAACACGAAGATGCGCCGAACGCTGAATGCGTGGAAGTGTCCAGGGCTGCTGCCACAGGCACTCGCACGGAAAGCATGGAACCATACGTGTTGTATGCTCAGTGTGTGTTTGAGGAACGATATCGCACAGGAACGCAAGTTACGTGGGAGTGACAGCTCGTGACAGTGCTGGGGAGGGTGAGTATGCTGCCAGGACAGAGAGCACATTAACGTTGAGGCCGTAAGCGAGAAGGCAAGGGCGTCGGGGAGAGCGAGAGGACGATGGGGAGAGCGAGAGGAGGAGAGCGAGAGCCTGAACGTTGGAAGAAGAGAGAATAACAGAGAGAGGATACGAAGCCAAAACAATAGCGATGACGAGGGTGAGGATGGGATGAAGAAGGTGGGGGAAAAGGCGAGGGCGCCAGTGAGAGTTGGTGCCGGTGACCTATTGAGCGCGGCAACTGGTTGGAATGGATGACCGTTGATACCGATGAACGCTGGGGTACCGTTGAACGAGACAAGTCCAACGTTTGTCCTTGTTTGTGCAGAGTCGCGCCGCGCTGCCTGTGCTTGGAAACCCCGGACTCTAGCTCATTACACCATTTCCCTACGCCCATAGAAACGGTAAGCATCACATATATCCCGTACTAATGTATGCACATTCGGCTGAATGCTATCATACCATTACAGGCTTTCCCACCCGACGGAGATATTGATAGGCCTTTGAGACATGACTCACATTGGAGGCTGGAATCGACGAAGGTATAAAAATATCTATCAGCTTGCAGCGAGAGATGAACTCAAAGGACGTTCGCTTGATTCCCTTATCCAGGTCACCTTCCCTGCATTCGATCTCCGTGTCCGATTTTGCGCTCTCCCTGCAAGCCATCAGGGTTTTTGTAGGCCACTGGACCATGGGCTATAGAGGACCCGACAGCAACTTCAAGTTCCAGGAGGATCGAATGCGTGCTCGCGCGCAGCCTGGCTCTTCGAAGGCCTTGCATACATTGTACGGAGACATGGCGCTTCAGGTGGTTACGGGTAAGGAGATTATCAAGAAGATACGGTCCTTGCCCTCGCCATTCAGACAAACCCTATCATCGACTTCTCAGTTAACCTTCGAGCATGCTATTGATTTGGTTAGGGAAATTACGGAAGAGGTCCAGTTTTGCGAGGCTATGATTAAAGAGCATGCACCACTCACTCCATTCCCTGATACGGCGTGTGTGGTGCTCTCATCATTTGATACATGTTAGTATACCCGGACCAGGCCCTCCAGGCAGTGCAATCATATGTCTTACGTGTTCATTAAGTTTCCTTGGCTTCGGAATAGCTAGTGGCGTCTCTGGCCTTCATCAACTTCCCCGCCCGTGCTCGCCTTACATGCGCCTGCACAGACGTAATTCAGAGCAAACACGCCGCTGCTCTCCTCTTCCGTTTCAGGCGCACATGTAACAAATTTCAGACTATCATCCCCCCTATGCATCATGCTCTCATACTTCCATGACATAGATGAGGCGACTCGCGTATACCAGCAGGGTCACGCCTTTTCTCTCTATTCCTTGGCCGTGAGTTTTTGAGAGGTTTCTGCACTAGCGGTAGAAGCAGTCACGAATTCGCATGAAAACACATGATTCCCCCTTGGAAAAGCTGGTCTTGATATCGCGATAGGTCGTACCAATGGTCCTGCAATATACGTTCATGATAGGCGGGCAGAGTCCGACAGCATCTAAGGCTTGGCATCATCCTCGGACGAACGGCTGGCAAGGACAAGCCGATATAGTTAGTGCCGCTAACCTTGTGCCTTCCGTTGCGGTCTGCAGAAGCATAGATGTGAGCCGATATAACATCACTATGATCGCATGAAACGTACCACCCTCAGCCTACCCCTCGAGTTTTTTTAGGACTTTGCTCCATTCCAGAAAGCCACTCTCAATGGAGGGTCCTTGAAAGACGCTCTCCGTCGGTTTGCTTTAAGGCAGAGACCTGCGGGGACACTCCTTCATTGAAGAGCATCTCAAGACGACAGGTCCCATCTTTCAACGTTCTCCGTCGACTACGATTCATATATAGTAGCCGCCATTATTTGTAAAGACGCCTCTCGGTTGCTCTGGCTCAATACTACTGCAGCCTGGGTACAGCATGATTTGGTCGAGTGAGCACTCGAGTTAGCAACAATATTGTTATGAACAAGACTCACAGCTTACAGTCCATTTTCATCGCCGCTATGTTAGTTTGCAACAGGCATGACCACCGTAATTGTCATGGCAGTGACGAGTCGGGAGTCGGGTCGGGGATCAGACGTAGGGATCACGTTGGACTCGAGTGAGACATCTGCTCTTGTCTCAGAGCTGCGAGGCGACGGCGGGAGGAGGGGCTCAAGGTCGAGAATCGGCGGGGACTTTTCTCTTCACGTTTTGCCTCCTGTTATCATATCGCCTCACCATACTCGATAGGTCCCTCAGGACGCCAGTGTGGTAGAAGTCAGGATCCTCACAGTAATCTCCTCGTTCTTCAGACCACTCAGACCACTTCGAAAGGTTTTGATAGGACGGCAATGCAAGAAACTCGGGACCTGCCTGTGTAAACGCACCATAAGAGACGCGAGCGCATACTCGACCTTGACGAGAATGATGCAGGCCCTCTCAGGCGTGATTTTTATTAGGTCATGTTCTCAATGTCGTGAGTGAGAACCTGTAGGAGAGACTAACCTTGAGTGTAGGGGGCAGTTCACTGAGTTGCTCGCTCTGTATGGTTGGGGTTGACGACATGGTGGAAGACAAATTGCAACTTGGGCTGTGTGAGAGAATCACACGGCGTCTGAGAAAGACCTAGCGCAGTGTGTGATCATGAATGAGGCGTTGTGAGGCGACAAGAAAAACAAGAGGCTAAACGTAAGGAGGCCATGGTCCGTCGACGGTTCGGACTATACAGTAGACACTCTCTCCATTCCTTCCTAACCCACTCACTGTGAGGACGGAGATATCTGAAACTCATGTACGTAAATTATGCCCATACGTTAGTGGTTTTCATATATCATTCATGTCTTCAGAACATAGTAGGTAGATCTAGATAATTCATGATAATTATATACTCCGGGCCCGAGATCGAACAACTAACGTTTTTGCAGGATTCAATATACTTTCCCATGTCAAAATAACATGATGAAAGCCACTTCAAAAACGATGATATTCATGTGATACTCCTACACAGCTCATTATTGGTCTACTTGCTACAGTATGCAAAACTGCACCAGCCTCCTGGGCAGCCCACCCATATTCTCTGATTATGACACATGAGCGCGCTGCGTCATAACATACTCGTGGGCTAGAAGAGGGGTAAGGATGTGTTTAAAGGTGACGGGAAAAGGAGGTAGGAACGTACAAGGAATTGAATCCGTGGTGCCTTGCATGCCGCCATGAGCTCACCCTCGAGCTCCTCGTTTAGGTCTGTATAGTGAGATCAGCCATGCATTAGGCCCACGAGGAGGGTTCCCCACTGACGGCGAGCACGGAGCAATAGTTCACACCGACTAGACGCAGCCGGCCAAGGCGCTCCTACTTGCGCTCTGAGCCAACCGCCGCTTGCTCGCGGATTGCGGTGGTGACATTGAAGAGTTTGGGGATGATCAGGAGCTATAAAGAAGGCCAGAATCAAAGACGAGAATTCGAGCTACAGGGCAGTGAACACGTACGAGCAGCATCACTTCGGCATTATCGCAGCCGGGTTATTTGATGGGGGTATGCAAGTACTTACGCCACTGAGAGCGCGTTTTTTCTCTCGAGTGCGAACACCTGCTGGCCGAGGCCCATCGGCGCGCTGACGGTGTTGATACCGGCGGGGACGTCGATCGGGACTGCAGCATTTAAGCCAGATCTAAGTATTGAGAAGAAAACGCGTGCTGGATCAGCACCCAGGTACGTTGCTGATAGGACCTACGTGATGAAGACCGTGCGTTCGAGAATACGTGTCAACGAAAGCTTGATGATGCGGCGTATCATGTCAGGATGTGTGATAAGTTGAATGTGCGCAAGAGATGTCGAGGAGGTCAGTCCATTGGGTGGCTTGAGAAGCGTTTGGATACCGTCCAGTGCTTTCCGTTGCACGAGAACGACGAAAAGGCGAATAACCGCTGTTGGACCTATCGTTTCCCGAGGTGGAACGAAGAACGGGGTCTCGGTGGGCACATTTCCAGAAGGGTTCATTAGATGTGGAGTTTCATAAATGTCCTTGTCGAGTTCGAGTGCCCAGACAGCTTCGTCGGCAGTTTTGCACTCGTTTAAAGCTTTGCTGCACTTGACGCATCCCTGGTAAGCGATGTGAAGGAGAGACTCGATCTGTGCATTCGAGATCCCGCAAGACTCAGCGTTGTGAGTGAGGATGTCGATCAGCTGTACACATAGACGCCAGACAATCCACTGGGTAGGATGAGATGAGATCTGATGAAGCTCTCGACGTCGCGAAGCACAGGACGTACCGCGAGTCTTTGAAACGTTCCATAAGGAGTCATGTTCGTATGGGTCAACGCCTTTCGTGCTTCCCTCGCTCACACTTTCGTGATTAGGTATTGATCATCAGCATGTCGTCACATCGATGTTGATTGACAGATACTTACATTGCAACCTGCTCACTGTCCTCCTCTTCAACGTGCATCCAGACCTCAATCAATCTCTCCAGCCAGTCGGTACGGGAGGTCAAGAGGGTTAAAGCCTGCGAGAACGCTTTCCACTATCGGCTTTTCCTGTCTGGTTTTGTCACCCCAGGTATCGCATGGCTCGGCAGTGCGAAGAGTAAGACGAGCATTCGGCAGGCATACATGCTCACTTTGCTTGGTGGGTAGTGTTCTGGCCGGTCGAAAATGGCGCAATCGAAAAGTAGGTCGATGATGTGTGGCTTTTCCTTCAGAATCACTAGGTAAAACTGACGTGACAGAGGAGGAAACGTGCACAAAACGGCATGTGCAGCAAACATCGCGTTCTCCACGTTGAGCGTGTAAAAATGAGGTGGAAAGTCCGCCACTTTCTTGGGTGTCTCCTATGAGCAAGATGTGAGCGGTGGATGCGAAATGAACAGTAGCGCAACGAAGGCAACACATTTTTCTTATCCATAAACATAGCTCTCTGCCAGGACGTCTCAGGATCGTGCATTTGAGTGATCGTTTCTTCCGGCCCTTGAAGCGCGAAAACGCAAACGGCCTCAATGACATCAGCGGCCTTTGAAGGAAGTATCACCTCTCCTAGGATGCTTGCAAACGCAAAGTTATGTAAAGTAGTGGCGGCGGTCTGATGCAAGAAGCAGAATTCGTGTCACAAGTTGTACCTCATCAAGACAAAAAGTGAGGATATTAAATAGCCAAAATCTATGGTAACTCAGACTTACCTTCACGCAGACATCCAGCGCGCCTTCTTGCAGTAGTGCTTGGACAAGACTCCGGCGTTCTGAGACATCGCCCATCGCCATCAATGAGCTGAGTGATTCCAGGGCCCAGAACTGAGCCATATACACCGCATTTGGCGTAGATGGCCCATACCACTCGCGCCTAGAGAGCTCTGTCATCGCAGGTAATACACCTGCTTCTATGCAGGCAAGGATGGAAGGAACGAAAGGAAGGTTTTTGAAGGCGACTTCGTCTCGGAGAGCTCGGAGGTCCCGGCAGAAGGTGCCCTGAGGATGTAAAACGCCACAGAGGACCTGCGGTGACCATCATGTCAGACACGCAGACCTAACCTGACTTACCACCAGATCTAGAACCACCTCAGCATCTTCGTGGATATTCGTCATCTTCGCAAACGCCGCTCTGAGTTCTTCTATTTGCTGAGGTCCTGGCGAGACAAAGGTGGATTCGAACTGAGCAATCAGGGGAGTGCGGTCATTGCACATTGTAAGTTAAGATGAGCACCGGGGGTTAGGACGAAGGAGAAACAGTCGTTACAGTGGCGGTTGATCACAAGGTACATCTCCAGCAAACTTGACAGGTGGCGGTGTGCTGGGCACCCTCCCCGCAGGCATAATCACCATCGAGTTATCGCGAACCAATATGCAGGCAGACATCATCACTTATTTCAACGTGTCAGCTGTAGGATGCCTTTGCCGTTGACGCGGGCTTCCGCTCGCATACAGAAAACAGAGAAGGGGCCACGAGGGAATAGGGGGCTCAGCTCGGAGACGCTCGCTGGGATGTGCGATGAAGTATTGCTGAGAATGTGTAGAATACAATGGAGAGTGTGCGTAACAGAAAGGAAAGACCTCAGCTCGATGGGTCATGTAACACGGCAAGTAGATAACGTTTCTCTTATGGGCGGGATCAACCAAGGAGGTTCAACGCACAGAGACAAATGCAGACGAACCTGGTGAGATCATAATCTCATGGCGCTTCGTCCGTATCCTCATGAAGCGAATCGTATCCTGGTCATAGTTTCGGTTACAGTTAGCTAAGTCATGAAGGGGTTACGATTCGAGCATCATAGCGTACCCCATCATCCTCTGACTCGTTGATCCCATGCAGGCCCGATTGAACAACTTCAACCATCTTCCCTATCACATTCGCATACTTGCGCCCGTTCCCCCATCGAAGATGACGCCCGAGTGGCGAATGATAGACAGGTGATCTCCTCTAGAGAGCAAGATGTATCCGAGAACAGTACGATGTGCCGAGAGAACAGATAGTGTCTGTTCGAGGTCTGACGGCAAGGCGGGTGCGACTGATGTAGCCGGGACGGACGAGGTGGATGCGTTAGTGAAGGTTGCGGACGTCGATGCTACAGCCTGCCAGGAAGGTTTGTGTCAAAAGATAAACTTGAAGAAGATTGAGACGCACCATAAATTGGACAGTGTGGAGGAGGGTAAGGGGGCAAAGAGAAGGCAAAGCCGCGTGCTGTGTTCCGCGTTCGCGTGGCACCAACATGATCTACTATGTCGCCCCGCCAAACCGAGCCTGCTTACGGCGGCAACAAGGACGTAGCTAGGTTAACATCCTTGAACCCACACTATTTACAGTGTTCATCAAGAAGGCATAACGGTGGCGAGGCACGTCATGATGAAGTGAATTAGAGTACGCTACCAATACATACATGTATATATAATCCTTATTCTCGTGTCTCTTCAAAGCCTCCCAGAGCTCGGACACCCTCGACCAATCTACGATATTCTCTCAGCAACTCGCCCACCTCACTCACACGGATATCATCCTCTGTGGCCTCGAGGAGCCGTCTTTTAGGTGGTGCAAGCTTGGTCCGTAACGATCCCGTTGGCGAGGCAGGGCGTTGTAGACTCAATGTCACCGAAGCTGGAGAATCGGCTCGCGCGCCGACAGATAAGAGGGATGTCCGCTATTACAAGAATCAGCAACACTGATAGCATGTCAACGTGAATCCTCACTTTGTCCCTGTCCTTGTCCTGCGAGAGCCGTCCCAACCCGCCCGCAACACTGGCGAGTCTGTCCGTAAGGCTCTTGGATATTCCGCCAACGCTACCGCCACCACCACTCCCGCTCGCACCAATGTCGCGCTTGTGTTTGGACCTTCGCGATCGATTCGACTTGGCTGATGCATTCATCATGCTCTCAAAGCTCCTGACGCTTCGCGCGTCGTGCGTACTCGCCCGTTCTACTGCCTCTTCTGGCTCCTCGCTTTCCTCGTCGGTCCCTTCTTCTGAAGATCCACCACTCTCTCCATCGCCCTCGTCCCTCGTCGTCCTCGTCGGAAATACGATCCCCATCCCCGTACCCTGACTTGACCGACCCAGGGCGAGAAATGACAGCGACGAGCTGCTGCCCATCTTCGCCATCCTCTCCGGCTTGTGTTTGCTGCCGACGCTGGGCAACGCTCGCTGCTAGACTCGCGATCGAGAACCCGCTTTCGCGTCGTATGATATTGGGCTGGATCACCCCTTTCTCTGACCCTTCCAAGCCAGGTGCACCAGGCACAGATGTGGGCAAGAACGACCTCAAAACGCCAAACGACGAATCGACGACACCCGAGATAACCTTGTTTGCCGAGCCGGCGATTGCGTCCACCTGCTGCTCGACCCGTCCTCTCAGCATCCCGATCGCTGGTGTTCCCAGCAACGGCGCCGAGGGCGAATCTGGCGTGGATCAGCCGCGCACGATCGGGGTGGGCGATAGGTCGGCGGCGCTGATCACTTTTTGGCTGTCGCCCATACGAAGGGCCTCAAGATCGACGTTCTCCAAGAAGCTGGCGGCGACGAGGAGGTTGATGAGGCAGTACGCCTCTTCTCCACCACCAACAGACGTCGCTCTGAACCGGTGTGTGAAGAGGAGATGTGAAACGAGGTGAGGAGGATTGGACTTGGCGAGAGTGAAGATGAGCAAGGGGAGGAGAACGTCGCCAGAAACGGGGGTGTTTGTTGGAGGCGTTATAATGAGGGGATGATGGGCGTGGCGCCGGGAGAGAGCCTAGTGATGGCGAACCAGGGCACGGGAGGGAAGAGCTGCGGTGCGACGGTGGCTGAGCATGGGACAGTGGTGTCTACATGACGTTGACGCTTGTCGTTGTCGTTGAGCCCCCCAGAGGCAAGTTGACGAGGGTTACGGACTCAGGAATGGGAGGTGTAGCGGGTTCCAGGTCCGGTGCCATGACAATGGGGATGGAGAGAGGAGATGCAGATCCACCAACAAGGGCAGTGGGTGAATCGAACGAGAGGGACATCAGCAGCTTCGATAGGTCCTGATGGCAATGGAGGAGGCCCTTCCTTGACTGAGCCGCCTATATCATCAACTTTCTCTTCGTCACCTGGTTTCAGGCGGATGGGCGGGAGCTTGGAGAGACCATCTGGGTGTCGGTCAGCATGTGACCGAGAACATGTGGACCAGTCCTAACGTACCGACTAGAACCTTGTATGCGCTGACGAGGACAGCACTCTTGTCTCCCGGCGAGAAACAGATGTCAAGTTGTTGCAAGGCTGTAGGATAGATGTAAGGATAAAATTCAGTAGGGAGATGACGAGCCCACTTTGTCCACATGCTGTGATAACAGAATTCAAGTCGTCCGCTGCGCCGCCGACGTCGACATCCAGGTGAGCAAGGGTCAAGTCAACGAGGTTCACAGCTGCCACACGACTTGACAGTGCTTCGTCGTGCGACGCGTCGTCGACCCCGTTCATGAAGATTCTGTCGCATTCCATCAGCCAATTTGCTGCTCAACAATCCTAACTCCTTACTCACCTGTCATATACGACTTCGCACAACGCCCTCTCAACGATCCCCAGGCTGGGATTGGTTGTGTTGGGTGAAAACAGAGAGTCGTGCTTGATGATCTTTTCCCCAGCATGTGTCAGTACTGACATTTGCTCGCAGAAAGGGAGGGGGGAAGGAAGAAGGGTTTGCTCACCATGGATAGCTCAAGGTAGACAGCGGTCAGGACAGCGTAGAAGTTGACATCGGAGCCAGAGGGTTGGATGTGATCGCAAGTATGATGGAGGATGGATGGTGTCTGGGAGCTCGAGGGAGGGTGCAGAGGCGAGAGGGAGCGCAAAGTTCAACATTTATGCTTATTTGTTGGGAATGAAGCCCTCTCCGCTCCCGCTCCCCGACGCCTCATGAATGCATGGTTCCATGTCTCACCCGACGCGCTGCGGTCCTCTGTCTCACCTCTCGTCACGGCCATGACAGGCTGGTTATGCAACTCCATAGCCGCAAATAATAGCCCCTGAGTAAGTCTCAATCGGTCTCTTGTAATCACACCGACGCTGACGATAGCAGTTGCATCACCGCAGTGGTTTTTCCTGGCATTCATTTATCAATATTAGCGGATATATGAAAATTGTTTACTATAGCTAGTTGCGATGTTACTGGCACTTGAATCTGTATGGAAGGCACTCTGTGCCCATTACACAATTATAACGGGGGCAGTTACGTTGCACTGCTGGCAGCTTCGTTGCTGGCAGATTGCGCGGCTTATCCAAAGCAACCGGCGGCGGCGTTTGGCGCGACCGGGACTAACCTTAATTCCCACGACGAAATCAACTTCCCACAGTGTAAGTCGCGCCGCGCCTGCACAGCCATACATACGTTCCTGATATTGACCCGCGACGCCCAAAGCAGGATAGATTCCGCCCTCCGCGCGAGCTGGGCGACTGTTAGCCGTCAGTCCCTCTAATTCCCACGAGTCATTTCATTTCAGTCGCGTCGCGTCCGAATCGCAATTAGGCCCTGTTCGCCGCCAGTATATGTGAGATTCCCATCCTAGACCGCTTCTCTTCTTGATCCTCATCGTCATCCTCTGTATCCGGGACACCTCTGTATAGCTCTACGCACGACATCTACTACTCAAGCTTCTATATTATCTCGTTCGCTGCGTACGCTCCCCTAATCTGGCTCTCCATCGCCATCAATGACGCCAACTGCCATCGTCTCGACCTCGTCTCGACCTTCAGCTTCTATGTTCGTCTCAGACCCTTGGCAACATCTTCGCGTCGGACTCCTTTCCATTCCTACGTCTTCTGGCTTCGATCTTTTGTATTCGATCACCCTTCCTCTCTGTATTCGGATCCATGCGAGGCCTCTGTGTTTCCTTATTTTGGTGAGTACGGTCGTTACCATCCCTATATCCACCCGCATTCTCCCTATCTCGCCCGCGCTGGGTGTTCCCTTCCCCTCCCCATCTCGCTTCCCCGTTTCTGGACCACACTTTTATCCTACCCCCACGTCCGGCCTATAATAATGTCTCTGACATTTTCACAGATAGCAGACATTGTGGAAGTTGCGATGTTACTGATGCTTCGATATGGAAGGTCGCCTATTAAGTAACAGGGGTAGTTAGTCGGGAATGTCTAGCTGCACTGCTGGCAGCTTCCTCCTTCGTTGCTGGGTAATCGCAGTGACGATGATGGGATAATGGGAGATAATCGATGATTGTTCATGTGCCCGTCGGTTGCTGCGTAGCCGCGATGCTGAGATGTTGGAAAGCAAGATGATAAGAAAATAAATTACTTAGCTTCATCATATCTCCCTGCTACTGCCATCTACCGTCGGCTGCTGTTCTAGACCGCTGACTCCGTGACACATGCAGCTGGCATGATGCATGACGCGAACGGACCCTTTCCCCATTGCAGTCGCAGCAGCTCGCAGCAGCGTCACAGCGCTCAGATCTCAGATCTCAGACCAGCTCATGATC